GCAGGAATGGGAGGATAATTACCTTAGTATAATAGCCTGCAAAGACCTTCAGCGTAACAGGCGCAATAAATTCCCGGATAAAATGAAGCCATACATTCTCCAGACCAATTTGCTTCATGTGGATATCATCAGTTGGGACATTTTCATAACCACCAGATATACGGCTATCCTAAAAAGAGTATTCATGACATCATAAACTGTGGTCTGTGTGCAATTCACACTTACATTATCTTGGAATTTTTTTCAACCACAAGATCATAACAGACAATAAAAATAACAGTTCAATTATGGTGTACCATCTGCTTTACTTGCGAAACTATCAGAATAACTTAGGTAACATGGCTTTGCAAATGTATCAATGATGAAGCAAAGTATTACAGAGTAAGACTGCTTTCCTACTTATTTAATAGATATGTGAGGTCTGATGAGAAAGTAAATAAAATTGATTGCCAAAGCCTTCTCGTGTCCCCTAAAAAATGAGTTTTTTTTACAGTGAACCTTCAGGCAGTCTTAGCTGGTGATGGGCATAGATTCTGTCTGTCTGCCACTTGGATTACCTGTCACTGAAAATAAACCTGCTAAGTTCCTCACTTTTATTTTGTGGCACCCAAAGTCCTTCCATGATTGCTTTTCATTACCCTACAACCTGCTGACTTCAAGCTCTTCCTCATACTTTGAACTTCCGTCTTCCTGATCAGCTAACTAGCTGGGGAATATATAATTGAGCAGAGGCAGTGATATTCCAGAACATTCCACAAAAATTCCTCGGTACTGTGAAGGAGCTGGCATCTGTGGGTTCTCAGAGGAAAAGAAATACCTTGAACCACCTACAGTAATACTTTCAGCCAAGTCTTTGACTCTGAATGTAAATGCAAAACTGAATTACACCAAAGGCATTCAAACAGATTCCTCCTTCCTATGTCTACACAAAAAAAATAGCTTTGGCAGTCAACCAGAGAAACTTTGTCTTGGTATTTTCACTACAGCTCACTGCAAAAATGCAGAGAATAAAAAGTGACCTTGGAGAAGAGCAGTGTCACACAATAGGCATATTCCTTACCACCCCCAGCCAGGAGACACTGACCCTTAAGGCCTACCCACTGTAATTGGAGATGAAACTAAGGCCCAGATAGATTAAATGTTAAACAATTAGTACCAGAATTAGGCTAAAAACAAGAGTTCTCTTGACAGCCTTGGGTAGCCCTTTCATTTAGGTCTAAGACTCAGAGATGTAAGACAAAAAGGACAAACCTCTACCTTCTCTAAATATCTACACTCCTCCTTGCCCCACATATACATTTTAGTTCTTTGTGTGAAATGACAACTTACATGATGTTTTCCCCCAGACCACTGGCCATAATGCTCCATTTCTTCCACCAATTCATCGCAGGCTTTTTCAGAAAATATAGGAAACCAAAAAACATCTGGACAAGGCTATATATAAAACATGATACCACCATTAAGAGAATAACATTTTGTGTCTTTTTACTAAGAAACGGCATTTCAAAAGTACAGAATATTCAATATTTATCTCACTTAGATGTCTTTTTAAGAAGTTTGCCCAACATTACTGACATTACTGTTACAAACAATACTAGTTTGGGTTTTGTTTTTTCTTAAACAATTTCTAAGACTTTTATTTATGTTTGCATTTTAACATCTGTGCAATCAAGACGTGTCTTAGAGACACAGTTGGCCAGGCAGCCATAGTGATGTTGTTAATGCCACAGGGCATGTACACTTGGTCAGGCATTCATTCTGTCCTCACTTTGTGTGTTTGTGTGTATCTGTGTGTGTGCACATGCACACATTTAGTTGGCACTGCACTTGTTGACTTGCCTTTTGAAACATCTTTTTAAATGATTTATACTACCACTCATTGAAATGAAATGCTATGTATACAGTGCTCTATAACATATAACATATATGCCTTAATAAGTCTAAAATAGCTCTTTCAATATGCGTAAAATTAAAAATTCTAAGTGACTAGAAAACATTGCATCATAGTTTAACTGGCAGTATTTTTTTCCTTTCTCATGGTACACAAAATAACAGAGCATCTCAGAATTAAAGACATTTTAGACACTTTACATTCTCTGAAATAAGGTATTAGCAATAGTTTGGAACACTAACCTCAAACAGTTCATTTTTTAAAAGACCTCTCTGAGAAGAGACGTCTGGAGCTCAATTTCTTTCAAAGATAAACTTTCATTGAAAGAGGCCTACACCAGAGATCTGCCAAGAATTCCTTATTTTTGAGATAGCTATAACATTTGGGAGTATGCTAAAAAAAATGGCATGATCTTAAAATTATTGTTAATTCTCATTTTTCTACATGTTTACAACTGTATGACCCTTAAGGCTGTAAAACTGGTAATTAAGTCATATGAATTTTACCTAAAGGATAAAGTTTCTCCACTTTCACAACATCTGCTGCTAAAGCAGTATTGCATTAATAATATTCCCTGCTGGAAAATATAGCAAAAATGCTCTACCTATCATAGTAATTATTAATACAAACCTGTTCAACTATATTTTCAGTGAAAATCTTCGAATAATCTCGGTTTATATACTTTTCCTTCCAGTCCTACAAAAAAATCAATTGCACAGATTAAAGCAAAAACTTTTTCATAAATACTTTAATAGAAAATATAAAGTACATGCACTTTAGAAATTGCTCAAGCAATTTATAAATGACTACATGTAGTAGACAAAGTAGGAATTTTCAGAAACTACAGTTTATGATTTTTAAACTTTGCCTGATTCTATGTATGTTCACATCATTTTACGAAATGCAAATTTTTTATTTACGGACTTTTATAACTCAGGATTTTAAAATTTGAATAATCTTATAGTCACTATATTTGTATACTATATTCTATGCATATAAATAGGTGTAGGTAAATATGTGTGTTTTAAAAGTGAAAGATAAGGAACATAATCCTATCAACAAATATTAGTAAAACTTAATTAGTAAACATTAGTAAAATTCGTAAAAATATTAATCAACTTGGCCTTACTTATAATTTTATAGTGAATTACTCTAAAATAATTTTGATTTTTTAAAATGTATTTAAAACTTCTGCCTTCAGTTTTAGATGTGTATCAAAGAATGATCATGGGGTTACTATTTCATATCTTTTAGTTACTGAAATTAAGGTATAAGACCATATATTGAAAAATAGCTCCTCTTCATACTAATTCATGAACCTGAATCTTCTCTTAGTCCAATCACTGACACATAAGCCACACACTAAGGTACATCAATTTTTGTCAATATCAGCTAAGGAATCCTTTTCCTGGGTCAAGTGTTTTATTTAAAAGCCCAATATTTAAAGGGTATATATTAAAATATGAGTCAATATCCAAAATGATCTTTTCTTAAATATAGTTAAACCATTTAACAAAATTCTTAATTTTCTCTTTGCAAAGTACAAATTAAGTGAGCAAACAGGAAAGAATTGAGATACGGGCTCAAAATAATTCCAATCAAAATATGTTTCAAAAATATTTGTCTGAAATATATCTTTTGAGGCTACAATTCAGAAGGGCCCTGATAATTTATTTGCCATTCTTAGTTTTGCATATCTCTAATTATATTTAACTCAGAAATTTGTGATATGGAAGAACAAAAGTTATCTTCAAATTCTTTAACAAATTTAATTTATACATAGTATATCATTATAGTGGTCAAATTACTGTATTATCTCATTATTCCCTTTAATATTAATTGGTTCTCTGATTCCAAAACATGGGGGAAAATTAGCAGTAAATAATCATACATAACGTTTCAGAATCTTTAAATAGTTTTAAGTATCCTTTCCTGGCATCATTATAGATTTTTTGAAGTTAAAGAAACAAGCTCCTAAGATTTTACATTAAAGCATTAATATTAACTTTTCATTTTAGACTGCTTTTCAAATGTCATGGAACAAACTGACTTTACTAATTTCTTAGAAGTTCTGATAATGGGATAATCATTAAATATTTTGCTATGGGATACCCCTCATGAAGCATGTCAGTCAGGCTAATTTACAAAAAACAAAACAAAGCATGGAAAGAAAAGCAGTTCCTATTATTTCTGATATATTCATTGCATACTCTCTAAAGATCTGAATTCTCACACAAATATCTACAGGATATAACTTGGGACATTTTTTTCAGGAAACTAATTATTACCCAAGAAATCAAATAATTCTGTCTCTCAAAATACCAAGAGATTCAGTGCCAAAGTAAAATATGTAATTCCACCCTCACCATTTTAAAAAAGCCTCTTTTCAATTTTACTCCTGTGAAAGATGGAGATACGCAGCTAAAATGAAACAAAAGTATTTTTAAAATACCCCCCAAAAGTCAAAAGATATTCCTTTTCCTTCAACAGAGTTCCAGAGACCATTAAATTTACTATTCCCAAAAGTCAACTACTACAAAATAAAAGACAATTCTCATCAGGTGGATTGAGTCTTTGTAATTTAAAGCTTTTACTATCGGGAAGGAGAAAACCATAAATAGTAGTATTACAGAGATTAGAGAGAGTATTTTCCCTTGAATAATTGTGCCAACTTGACTAAAGAAAACCAACCCAGTAAGACAAAAAAGGAATTAATGTCTACATGATTCAAATCTTTCAGAAAAGAAATAATTTTGGACTTCAAAAGGAAATAATTTCCTCAACTTAAGACTTTATATGCTGAATCCACTTACTCTGTAATTTTCTCTAGCTATCTTTGGTGTACATTCACAAAATTGTTATAAAAAACAAACAAAATGATAAAATAAAATCCATTTTCACAAACTAACTTTTTGAATTCTTTTCCTGAAAGTCAAAATGTAATATTGTCATACGTGAACTACTTGTAAACATTTTCCTCTGAAATTGTGATTAAAAATTTGTTGGAGTTTTTGGATATATAAAACAGAGATATTGGGAGAAATCAAAGAAACTGATAATTCCCTTCCCCAAACCTCATATGTCTTTAAAAAGAAAGTTCTTAGTCAAGAAATATAATTAATTATGCCTTAAAAATATAATTAAAAATACCTTTTTAAAGCCTCTTACCATATTTTCATATTATTAACCTAACTGATTTACATCCATTTAGAGTTATAGGAAAATAAGTAATAAATGAAGCTGAGCATGAAATACATACCACAGGATTTTCAAAAATCTGCCAGAGGTCATTGTTATAATGGGAAATATTATAATTAGCAGTTGATAATAGTCTTCCAAATTCATGTCTATTAGAAATGTACATAAACACACCCTATATGCCAAAAAATAATAGTATTAATCATCTTGGAGGAAAGTACAAGAACATAAATTTAACCATAGGAAAAATATACAGAAGATATTAATTTCAACTTTTATATCTCATTCAGGAACATGCATTTTTATTTTTCATATAAAACATGCATGATTTAAAATGAAAAATAAAATTTTCATTAATTATGAATTCAGACACCACACAAAACTAATTGATAGCACTGACACTCAACTGAAAAAAAGAAGAGTAACTGTTTTTGTCCCTTTCTCATTGGTCCTAAATGTAGACATCAAGGAAAAAGAATTCCTGTTTGAAAGCAGAAATATTTTTGAGACACCAAAGTGCAATTAATTGTACCTCTTTCGGCTTCTTTCCCTTTCAAAGAAGATATCACATTTTTAAACAAGAATTCAAAGGTCAATTTTATTTTGTCAGTCTATTTCATATTTTTATTGTCTTTTTATTAAAGACTGAACACAGAAATTACTCCTGCATTATGAGACAGCTAAAGAAAATCAGTCTCCTGTCCTTGCCCCAAACCAAATAAATGTGGCGAACACCATTAAGGTAAGGTTGTTTCTTTTTGTACCTGTTTTAATAGTAAAAGAGTTAGTTAGTAATAAAAAAAAAATGGTGAAGAATACCCAAATCTCATTTTAATCAGGATGTACTTTATACTTACTCCTACTTCTTCTCTCCCTTAAAAAAACAAAAACTGGAAAAACTAGTTAAAGTGATTTGGATTTAACTTTCTCATTTGTCAACCATAAAATCTAAATCAGCCCAAAGAACTAAGAAGTGAATATCACACAATGCGTACCCCAACATGCAAAGCACACACATATATATACAGATTCAGAACCAACGAACACCAACCGTTTACACCAAGCTAAAAGGAAAGAAGACTCTTAAACTTTACTTCTAGACAATATCTAGTATTTTAGTTAAATAAATAAAATTAAATAAACCAAAACAAGTAAAAATAAATAAAAATAACACCTTTGGGGGCCTGAGCATTTGGAATGTTTCCGGAGTAGGGGAGTCTTTTTCCCTTTGTAAAGTCTAAAATGAAGAGAAGGATTGGGTAAGTTGACCTGCACACCCACTCTCTCAGGTATTCTTAGGTAAGTAAAAATAGCAGCCTTTGATCAAAAGCTGACATTCTGAAATGTCCTTCACAGACAACATGCAGAACAAGCAAAGCTTACAGCGCACACAAAGAAACAACTCCAGCCCTTTTTTTATGTTGGTCAAACATAAATCCAAGCTCATTCCTTAGTAGAATTTTCATTAGATACAAAATTAAGACAAAGGAAAAATGTGTAAGAATGGCCATTCCAGGATGCGCTGTTGAGTCAAATTAGCCAAACATGAGCACAAATTACAATCACAAGTACTGAGTATATTCAATATAACAGTGGACATAAGTTTATAGGAAAAACAAATATATTCAAACAATACATGCCTTATTAAACCAGAAAAAAAGTACTTGCCAACTTTCCTGATTTTTTCCAAAATCACATTTGCTTATATAAATTTGAATAAAATAACCCAACCATTTTAAAACAGAAAACTTTATAAATGTTTTAAGACATATTAACACATTTTGAAAAACGAAGTATTTTCTACAGTCTCTTAAGTTTTATCAAGAAAGTACATTTGTAGAATAGCAATGTATCATTAATTTTTCACATAGATTAAATAGACTACATGTTTCAATCCTTCTCCCAGATTAGTGGTAAGGAACCTACTTTTTGAGAGTATGGGATTAATAATGATAGAGAAAATATGGACACTGATTTCAGGACACAAGTGTGTTTTTCTTAAATGTGTAACTGATCATTTCACTCAGGCTTCATATAGTTAACTTTAATTAGGTCAGGTTTTAACCATAGAATTTCAAATGAAAGTAAAGGCAAATTCTTAAAAATGCAAAGCTGATTTGTAATAAATCTATGTTTATTATTGAAAATCTTACTGTTGCTTATGAGTTAACCTAAGCACCAAGCCTAACTTTTTTCAAGTTGTTTCTATAGGTAAATGTTCCACAGGTAAATTATTCTCCATAATTGCTTCCAGTATTTCAATACAGAACCAAAAAAGTTGGCTAGTACTACAAATTAGAAAGAAAAAGGGGACCAAAACAAATGACACATCAACTGGGAAAGCAAGCCATCTTATAGAGACATTCAAGCAAGCCATTATTGTATACCCTACCATTTCTCTAGCATTTCGGCAAAGAGCCATATCAGGATCCAATTTATCACGAACAAAATAGTTCCTTTCATTCATCTCTGATCGGAGTGTCTTTCCTTTAATTAAGTACACGTTAGCCATGTATGGGACATTCCATATCCCTCTGAAAGTAAAGATAAGACGTTCCAAAATACCACAAATACGAAGTTTTATTTTTATGTTTTTAAAATAAATGCCTTCTATGTTTTTAAATTTTGCAGATATAAACTATTGAATCAAGTTACACACAAATGCAAACACATTTAATGATATCTGACACATATGTACACACACATATGCATGAGATTATTTGGTAAACACTACATACTATGAGATAAATCACTACCTCCCTACATAAACTTCATTTTAAGGTTGATATGTTTGGCATTTTGGCTGTCATCCCTCACTCTGTTGATACAGCTAGAGTATAATATTCTGTTGTACATTTAAGATTAAGCAGTCTGATAGCAAAAAACAGCATATCCAGCCAGTGGCGTACTGCAGCCAGCTCACACTGGCTTCCCCAGAGCATTTAGCTTCCCTTCTGACTTCACATTGGAAGCTTAAATCAGCCGTGGTAGAACTATTCAGAACACAGAACTGGGCAAACACTACAAATCAGGGCATCCTCCAACCCAAAGAACTAGTTGTTAGACATTTACCAGCACATCACTGAATACAGCCTAAAATTCTCCTAAAATATAGCCTTTTGAAATTCATTAAGCTATCTCAATTGTCTGTAGAAAAAGGAAGATATAAAGAAACATAGCTAAAAGTACATGAGTGTTGGGAGACACTTTATTTTGTCCTTTATTCTTTCCCACACTTGTCTCCTTATTCTGAACATGACTCATTTCATAAAAACAATATAATAGAGGTTCACCTGAAGGGATATACCTTTGCTTTTAGAGCACAGAAAGGGAAGATCCTGACCAAGGAAATGTAGTTAATTGAAAGCAATATACGTAACATCATTTTGTCTTACTAGACGAGCCTCAAAGGAAATGGCCAATCAAAAATATACACTGTGTCCGCTGAATTCAGAAATTAATCACTGGTGTGGTAGAGTGTGCACTGTTTCAATTTTAAAGGAAAACACACACACACACACACACACACACACACACAGAGTCACAAGATGTCATTCTTTCATGTAGCTTTTATATATAAGGTACATTCCTCTATTAACTACATCAAAAGCCTCTATTTTATTCTTTTCCTTACACTTTAGACAACAATTACAGGAGTGCCTAAACAAATGAAATATGAGTTCTCTATTTCTACTTCTGTGAAGCCTTATTCCCACTATACCCACAGGCAATATCAGGCATATGGTCTATCCCGATCATTCCAGAATCAATTAACGTACTTTGAAACAACAGAATATGATCTTAGTAGTATTTTCTCAGTTATCATGCTTCTTAACTGCAGCTAACAAAAGCCTTTATCATTTACATCATTCAAATTTACTATTACTGCTTTTACACCTATTATTATTTTCACAAGCAAAACATCTCTTTACCACTCAATTGTTCAACAAGAAGTGTGGGTTTTTTTCCTAAATTTTAACCCTTTTTAATTGAGCTGATGTATCTGAGAAATTAGGCAAAGCACTTAATGTCTCAGTCACTCTGGTCCACCATCTGTATGAAAAACAGGATACATTCTTCCTTAATATTACCTTAGCAAAAAACTACTTCAGGTGTGATTAATTTTAGTTTAAAAAATATCAATTGTTGTCTCTGAAATAAATATCAGTCATGCACATACTTTGTATTAAGTATATTCTTTTCAAACTCTAGAAATGGAAATCATACTGGCAAAGCAATTTCTCTTTAAAGCAGAATATTAGCTATATTACACAGAAAATTCTTGCAAAAGGAAACGTTGGAAGGTTTGATTGTTGGTGTTTTTGTTTGCTCATTTATAAAATTTTATAAGCTATCAAACAACCTTCACCCTGGCCACTAAAGAAATTAGCTAAACTAAATTCCCTTTCCAAACTTTAAAGAATATTCCTCTTCTAACAACCATAATATGACTACCCATGGTAATCATACACTGTCTTTTAGTATTTCCCACAACTGAGAGTTTGTGCCTTTGAAGATTCACAACTTTAAGAACAATTTTTTTTTTTTTTTTTTGCGGTATGCGGGCCTCTCACTGTCGTGGCCTCTCCCATTGCGGAGCACAGGCTCCGGACGCGCAGGCTCGGCGGCCATGGCTCACGGGCCCAGCCGCTCTGCAGTATGTGGGATCTTCCCGGGCCGGGGCCCGAACCGGTGTCCCCTGCATCGGCAGGCGGACTCTCAACCACTGTGCCACCAGGGAAGCCCTAAGAACAATTTTTTAAATATTAGTTTTACACTAGTATTGCAGGATCCCAAGTGGTCTCCAGGTCTTCAAATTTCCATTTAACATAAAGAGATAAAAAATGTTTGAAAATTTAATATAATATTAACAAGACCATATTTTTAGATAAAAGTATTTTACATTAAAAGATCAAATCAAGTAACTTACACTCTATTCCCTTGAACAATATCCACATAATCTTCAGATCGAGCGTAGTATCCATCAGGACTCAAGGCCCCCCAGAAGTTAGACCACAGCTTTCCATGACGAGTTACAAGAGGAGCAATGATCTTTCTAAAGAGAAGAGAGAAAAACAAATCCAGATAATTATTTATTTTTTAATTGCCACAGAATTGTGTGTTTTGGGCTTAACATGACACAGAAAACAATAAAGTTCATTTAGCACACGTAGTTAGTCCAAAAAACTAAATGTAAAATAAAATAGAGAGGAATTTCCTCCCCTTACTTTCTTTAAAAATAAGTACATTGCTGACTTTCAATGTTGTTTTTTAAAAAAGACTAATGAGAAAGGAAAAGTAATTGAAAATGCGAATGAAAGTATAAAAACAACTTTTAAAAGTATCATACTTATATCCAAAAAGTATAACTACATTAATTATTTAGTTATTTTAGTATTTCGAAAATTATACTAAATGAAATCAAATATTTTCATTGTTATTAGGCAGACGTAACAGTCCCTGGTACATTAAGGTATCCAATAAATATTTGCTGAATAAAAAAATGTATGAAGATGGGCTGAGATATTAGGCCAGTTTTCCTAAAGTTAAGCCTTGAATTACTTTAAAGTATGTTTCCGTTTTTTTTTTTTTAAACTTTTAAAATGGGTTGTGCTAGCCCTGGCAACACTAAACATTTTTCTGGTCTTTTGACTATTTTAGAAGACAAAATAAAAGGTGACTGCTATACCATGCTGTCTCACTACCTACCAGGAAAGCAGCCCCTTTAAGACAAGTATATGTTACAAATTCAAAACATGCCAGATTTCTTTTAAGGAAATCTAATTTATAATGTGTCAACATTTTCCAAATGAGGTAACAAAATCTGAATTTCTGTTAGAATTATTTTTAAAATGAAGTAAATTGTAGTGGTGTCACACAATTTTGAAGAAAATCTCACACAACTCCTCCAAGAGGAAGGTTATAGACCAACTATTTCCACAGAAAAACCTATTTCACAACCCTCCAATCTTGTGAAGACCAGGTGCACCCTTTCTCTTACCTATGGAAAAGTGACACACAGTCTGTAAATACACTTCATGCAAAATAATGATTGTAGTTTATTTTTCCTGCTTCCTATTAGAATAAAATGTTAACCAGATACATTTACATTTTGTTTTGTTTAGAATACCTACAATATTGGAAATAAAAACATAAATTAGAATCTACATATTATGTTAATCTAAGGAAAGAATGATAATTCAATGTCGATAACTAACAAGATCAAATATTTAATAGAAAAAAATCTTGTAATTTATAATCTTAGCTGCCTGACAGAGCTGGGGAAAGAGACATTGAAAATCAAAATCCATCTTCTGTGTGCCTCAATGTTTTCAGTACGGAATTAGAAGATTAATACTGAGAGGTTTTAGCTTTTGAAATAATAACTGAATTCTCAAACTGACAAATTATACAAACGATGGATTAGCGGAGTATAATAGACTTCTTACATATTTTATTCAGCAAAATGAAAACAGCAATTCCAACATTTCATTGCTAACCATTCTATTTGTTAAGAGAAATAACTGTGTTAATATATGTGAACATACACAGAGTAATACCTGGCACTTAATAAGCACTCACTAAAGGTGGGGTATTAGTGAGAGTATTAATATTAGTAGCAGTAGTAGTTGTAAATGAAGATTAATATCATTATAAGCCGGTATAGATGGTGCCTTTTACCCATTTCAATTCAGTTAAATGAAAACAGGTATTGCCTAGAGATAATTAGTTCAGTACTAAACAAAATCACAGATCAGGCTGTGGAATAATATGTACCTCTGAAATTTATTTCATATTCTAAGAACTTCCAACTCTGTAATAACTTTTTAGGTCAGAAGTTTTATGAAATTCTACTTTAAAAATATCTGTGGAAAATAAGACAATTCTATTTTTAGATAGATCACAATTTCATCTAGCTTTAAATAGAAAAATAGGCCAAATATAATTGATAAACATCACATTTGTGATTGTAACTAAGTTGAATATTTTGAAATTTTCATCAGGTTGTTTTCTATTTGACTTCTTTAAAAGAAAACTAATTACTTAGAATTTAAAGTTTATAAGGTGTAGAAAATAATTTCTTGTGAGTTCCTTCAATTTGCTAAACACAGACAAGTAATTATAGCATGTCCACATAGATAGTAATTGTAGCATGTCCACGTAGATAAAGAAAATAATTATAATTTTAAAAATAAACTGACATTGAATCATATACAGTACCTGTTTTGTTCAATCAAAATTTTTAAAGTCCTTGGATTTGTCAAAACAACATCTGCATCCACACTAAAGTAATAATCACAGTTTTCATCCTGACGGCAAAAATCCCTGTCATTGAAAAAGAAATAAAATATGCATTAAATAAAATAAATATTTGCTGGTTGAAAAATGTTAACATAAAGCTCATAAGCAAAATAAGTTTTCTCTAAAATACTTTTCTAATCAAAATAGTAAGACTATACCCAAAAGGATAAATATTATCTTAAATTTCAAAATGGTCAGTTGATCAACACAGATGTTCATGGGTAGAGTGAAACTAAAAATTTTAGGGCAAGTGAAATATATTTTCAAGGCACTAAATACTTCAAGGCATAAAACATCCAGTCAGAAGGGCAATTTATAATTCAGCATTTAATTCTCTCTAAAAAGGGAACATAATTTATATCAATGTATTTATCAACAAATTTTTTTCACAAATCAAAATGTTTTCTGCACACACACACACACACATTCACAGTGTAAAAATCCTGTATATCCAACAACTCAGTTTTAATTGAATCTTGGAAATACAGGTGTATAACTCTTTAGGTGTTAATACTTTTTAAACTTGATTTGCGTGGAATTCTTTCTAAGATGGTCACTGCCCTGCTTCTTATCCAAGGACACAGATTGTGATGTATGCTTTCTTGGTAGAGTCTGGAGCATTATCATCAGGAACACGAAGGAATGAACTACTTGTGATACATGATAGGCTTCCAAGTATTACGGTTTCTGCATTTGGAGCTCTCTCTTTCTGAGCTCTTCTCCCTCACTGCTGATCCGAGTTATCACTTTCTGCTACTGTCAGTGTTTACCTCCATGACACATTTGTTTCTAAGCAACTGTCAAGCAGGACACCAGACAGGAAAGTTTGTTAAAATTGTGCAAAAAAATTAGAGGAAATTTTTTTAAAATACTGTAACTATGCACGGTGACAGATGGTAACTAGACTTATTGTGATTATTTCACAATGTATACAAATATTGAAGCTATGTTGTACACCTCAATCTAACATTATATGTCAATTATACCTCAATAAAAATGAAAATTAAATAATTTTTTTTAAAAACAGCTCAAATTATCTTGGAAAAAAATTTTAAAATGTATACCACATGATTTCAAGGTTAATATAAATCCCTAGTAATAAAGTGTAGCACTGATCTTAGAGCAACAAAACAGAATTGAGAGCTCACAATCACTCATAAATACTCAGTTATCTGATTTTTGACCAAGGCCAAGTCAATTAAGTAGGAAAAGAAAAGCCTTAAATTAAAAAGGAGTATTGAAACAACTGGAATTTCATTTGCAAAGAATAAAAGTTGACCCCTACTTCACTCCAAACACAAAAATGTGTTCAAGATGAATTGCAGATTGAAACATCTTAAACATAAATGCTAGAATGATAAAGCTTATGAAAGAAAAATTCCAAAGAATGTCTTCATGACACTGGAATAAGAAGGATTTCTTAAACAGAAAATAAACCCCAAAGCACAAAGCATAAAAGAAAAAGACGAAATAGAATTTTATTAAAATTAAAATTTCTTCTCATTAAAAGGCAATATTTAAAAAGTAAAAACTCAAGCCATAGAATGGAACAAATATTCACAAAACATTATAGAGATAGAGATAGAGTTTAGATAGATAGATAGATTTTGTATACAAAATATATAAAGAATTCCTACAAATACACAACTAACAGGATAACCCAATGTAAACAAAAATGCACAAAAGATTTAGATACCTTTAGATACCTAACCACAGTAAGATACCTTTTCATACCCAGTAGAGTGGCTAAAATAAAAAAGATGGCCAATATCAAATGTTGACAAACATGTGGAGCAGCTGGAGCTCTATTACCTTGCTGTTACAAGTGTAAAGTGTACAACCAGGGCTTCCCTGGTGGCACAGTGGTTAAGAATCTGCCTGCTAATGCAGGGGACATGGGTTCGAGCCCTGGTCTGGGAAGATCCCACATGCCACGGAGCAACTGGGCCCGTGAGCCACAACTACTGAGCCTGCGCGTCTGGAGCCTGTGCTCCGCAACAAGAGAGGCCGCGATAGTGAGAGGCCCGCACACCACGATGAAGAGTGGCCCCCGCTTGCCACAACTGGAGAAAGCCCTTGCACAGAAACAAAGACCCAACACACCCAAAAATAAAAATACATTTTTTAAAAAATGTACAACCATTTTGAACTATTTAGCTGTTTCTTATAAACGTACATCTATCCTAACCCTATGACCTAGTTAGTCCACTCCTTGGTATTTTCCCAAAATATACTAAAGCATATGTACACACACAAACACACACACACATACAACACACATATTCACACTTCTAATAAAGAATCTTCATTAGCAGTCTTATTCATAATGGCCCCAAACTGGACATAGCCCAATGTCTATCACCAGGGGCGTGTGTAAACCACTTGCAGTATATTCATATGATAAAATACTAGTCAGCAATGAAAAGGAATGAGCTGCTGATAATTGTAATGACATGAGTGAATTAAAAAACACTGTGCTAAGACAAAGCCAGATACAACAGAGCACATACAAAAATTTTTTACATAGAGAAAATAAGTTCTAAATGTGGACCCAAGGTACTCTTCAATGATGAAGTTATGGAACCATTAGTAATAACAACTGTTCGGTTTTTCTAAGGCCCGTTTTCCTGCCTGTCCCTTTACCCCCATAATAGGCACTGTCCATCACTTTGGGCCTGAAGCTTCCACAGCACAAGACGAGAACATCTCCTGCTGAGAAATCACTGAGTCTTACCTTTTCATTACCAGCTTTTAACCCACTGATGGGCATATTCAATTAACATTCACTGAATAAGTGATCGTTTTCACTATTACCAGAATTTTATTAGTAACCTGTCTGAAGTATTAAAGGGGCTAAACAAAGGACCTAAAATATTTCTTCTGTGGTTACAGTACTATTTAGATCAATAGATAACTAGAATATCTGAAACACATTTCTGCCACACAAAAGCTTCAGATAATGTATATTTAAATCACTGCTACATCAGTCACACTACTCATCTGTCTGGGGATTTAAATCTTGATCTGAAGTTCAGTTAATAGTTTGAATAAATATATTGACTCTTAGCCATTAAAAGAAAAAGGTAAATAACTTTCATGGCCCTTTAGACATAAATACACACAAACATAGATATAGTTCAAACAGCAGAGGTATGCTCATGTGTGGGCACAAACACACACAGACACACACGCACACACACAGTTGAGACATCCAAGTTTAGGACACTAATTTTGAAGAAAAGTTGTCTTTCTTTTTTAAGTTTCTTTAGTAGATACTGGTTGAATTTAAATTTGCTAAAACATACATTCCCATGTTTCTGGCTTCGGCTTGACTTAGATTTTCTTCCGGTCCTACAATTTTCATAGTAGTGATTTCATGCTTAGCTTTATCAAAAAACACCTTGATGTCCTTTTCATGATAAACTTCCTGTAACATATTTTAAAAATTGAAGATTAGTTTAAAACAAGAAGAAAAGTAGTGAGAAAAAAGACAATAAGATGACTGAAGTATTCATATGTAGGGATGACTTCACATTCAAAATTTGTGAATTCCACCATTCACTCACTACAGGCAAAGTGATAACTATATTAAGCATATTATATTGAAATACCATCTAAATACCACATGTAGAATCTAAAATAGATACATATCAATTTTTCTTAAAAAAAGATACTTCAAAATTCTTTTAACATCTACTCCTAGTCCTTGCATTAATATTTAAATCCTGAGTGCTATAAAATATTTCTGACTTGAGGGGGAAAATGGCTTGTGCCCTGAGAATCTTAGACATGTTCTGTAAAATATCCATAAAAAATATCTATTAAACCTAAAAGATTAATCTGTTATAATCTTTTTTATAAAATAAATATTACAATATTATTTTAAGCAGAGAGAAAATTAATGGTCACATAAAAAGTGTTTTTTACAAAAAGAAAGTTAAAATTTTATTGATAAGAAAATATGATGAGAAAATAATCAACATGAAAAGTCATCAAATTAGTGTGATTCAACTGTGCTAAAATTTAGATAAGGTGATCTAACTGTGCTAAAATTTATATAAGGTTATCTATCTCCATCATTAGAGCATTTCAGAGCTCTTTATGTATCAAGTCTAAGTATTTATGAAAGCTTTTCACAGCTTGTTAAAACTACTTATCATACAAAAGCTGCATAGAGTTAATTTTAAATAAAAGAAGATAACTCCTGCTATCAAGAGGTTTTAGGTCCTATGAAAGGAGGAAAAATATAAATAAAAGACACAATACATAAAAACAAAATACTTTAATGTAAGTACATGTATTACAATGCATTTTACAAAGCCAATGCTCAATACATTCACCCCTTTAAACTTAGATATCTGAGGTGGTTTTCTGCAAATATGAAATAGTCTCTGGAAAAGGCAAATGATTAGCTGATATGTACATCAGGAAGAAAGAACAATCTTAAACAAAAAGTATTAGGACAAAAGAGAGAAAAGAGCATACTTCACAGCTATTGAGTTTTTCTAGGTGATAATAAATGCCAACTGTTTTAACAGGGAAGAGACAAGCAAAATTGAAAAATATTGAGGAAAAATGTCTTTAAATTTAGACTATACGTAGGAGGTATTTGGGAGGTTCTGAATATTTTTGAGGGAAATGACAGCATCAAAATCTTTAGGGGAAGAGCATGCCATTGTGTAATTAATCAAAACAATACTGTATATGGAAGACATTTCAAGTTCTGATGTTGGGTATTATCATTAGCTGCAAACAATTTAATGATGGGTTCTATAAAAGTACCAGAACTAACCCAAAGGCAAAGGACTATAGGCCGTTTGACATCTCTTCATTATAAAGTTGAACATATAAAAATGGCTGATATTCAACCATTTTTGATCTACAAAAAACTCACAGTTTCATGTGTCTCATCCCAATAGTATGATACTAGTTTCTAAACTCTATAATCCTTAGGTCCTAAATACACAGAGTAGTAATGACTTCAAAAATCCCCCACTGAATTTAACTCAAATTTTAAAAAAATTTTTAGACATGACTAAATAATAATAGTTCCAAATAAGATCAAAATAGTTTTTCCATAAAATATTCATTTCTCAAATACTTACTTTGTTATGAATAAAGAGCTTAACTGCTTCTCTTGGGTAATCCAGTGTCAACAATATGTCCAGAAATCGAGGTAGGAAAGGGGTTGGTTGCTCAATAAAAACACCTATTGTTACATTTGGGTGAACCTTTGTTTTGTGGCAAACATAAAAGCAAATTAGAATTAGCATGGTTTTACTTTAAATTCTATTCAAGTTTTAATCAATACAACATAAAACATACTAGAATATCAGTACAGCTTAACCTTCTAAATTTGATTGCCCCATGACAATTCTCTAATACATTTTTGTGGACCCCACCAAAGTGATTTTACTGAATCACATCTTAACGTTATGATTTAGGTTGAAGAAGAAACTCACTATCGTATAACATAGGGATACTGTAATTAAGGTTACTGCCTGCTCTACTATTTAATGCTTCCTTTAAGATAGTCCTAAAAGAAACTTCCTTCAGATCTAAATCTATTTGACAGCTTCATCTATGAAGCCAGAATGCTAATTGTGCTTCCATGTTTGTTTCCATGTTTTGAAAGTTTAGTGGTTAATTTGTAGCTCAAAGAAAACAATCACAGAGGACTTGAGACTTTATTTCTATCCTTGAACCTTTAATCTCATTTTATTGATAGCACTTTATTTTGCTTCATCATTATATTATATATAAGGAAAGCTACTTTCTTTCACTAATATATTTTATCTTGTATCGATTTTTAACTTTTTCTTAATTTCTGTTTGGGTATGTTTTAGAGAATAGTTTCTTTCATTCATTGCATGAACAATTCTGAAATATCCACTATTAGTCCATCCTTGTGATAAGAAATATTTTAAAAAAGGAGTGAAAATTTCTTGCTTGGAAAACTTACAAATGACTGAGGCAGAAAGAAACATAAGTAAATGCCATGTAATAGTGTTATTACCAGAACCATATGAAAGATTTCTTTACAATGCCTTTTTTAATCAGTGTCTTAAAGCCTGACTTTAAAGATTATAGATATTTAAATTACAAACTACATACAGATGGGTGAAGGAGGTCAAAAGGTAAAAAATAAATAAATAAATACAATGCATTACTGAGCAAGAAAAAATTTTTTAATAAAGATCACAGATTTTTTTTTTTTTTTTTTTTTTTGGTACGCGGGCCTCTCACGGCTGTGGCCTCTCCCGTTGCGGAGCACAGGCTCCGGACGCGCAGGCTCAGCGGCCATGGCTCACGGGCCCAGCCGCTCCACGGCATGTGGGCTCTTCCCAGACCGGGGCACAAACCCGTGTCCCCTGCATCGGCAGGCGGACTCTCAACCACTGTGCCACCAGAGAAGCCCAAGATATTTTAAAGTACCATATATGTTAAGTGCTGAATTAGGTACCTCTCCCCCATCTTTTCACACATGATACCTCATATATTCCTCTGTTATCTGGATAATATTATTTGTTTGCGCTGAAGTACAAGTCATACACTGTTGTCCTTCTTATCAATTCATTCAGTCACCCAAATATTTATTGCTAAATCAATAAACAAATACAAACAACTAAAGACAAAATATCTACCTTCTAGGATTTCTCAATTTAACAGGGAAAATGAGTAAAAACTAGATGACAACTCTCCCTTATCAAATGATGTGATGCATTTCATTTAAATTTTGTAATAACCTTAGAAGTTATTTATTATCCCAAATTTACACATGAGGAAAATGGGACTTAGAAGAGTTAAGCAACTCAGAACACATAAATTAGTAGGTAAAGAACTGGGCTTCAACATGCTACATCTCCATTGTCAATCTAAGCTCATTTTTATATACTAATGATACTAAGAGTACAACAGTTAGCTATTATCAAGGCTTAGCACCTCATATATATAATTTATGCATATAAAATATCATTATATATACACACATCTATATAATTAAATTTATCCCTCTTACCAATCCTCTGAGATAGCCATTATCATGTTTACATATAGAGTAACTTGCCCACGGCCCACACCTAAGTATATGGTAGCCCTAGATCTTAACTACCCACATAATTTTAATTTTTATCTCCCTGCTGCATAATTACTACACATATAAAACACATAAGAAATTTATTTTGCATAATAAAATGGTTTTCCTTTCTAACAGTCTATAAGACAAAAAAGCTTAGCTTAAGAATTAGGTGATTTTCACCTATATGCAAAAAATAAAGATAAAAAACTATAATATAAATATTTTTCAATCTTTGCACCAGAAAGTTTATGTAAAAGGATACTAAACGGATAAAAAGCTTTAACTCTCTCTCCAGAAGACTCTGCAAAAACGATCAGGATGAATTTTTAAACATCTTCATGATGCAGCTTCAGTCAGAAAGTTTCTGGCTTTCTTTCCAGATAGGAAACATACAGTCTGTTATTTGAGAGACTGGCCAAAAAGCCTTATTTTCAAGTAAAATAGGGTTATATTCAGAAGGTCCTAAACGTGGACAAGTTACTCTTTATCCTCCTTTTCAGAACAGAACAGAAACTATTTAATTCAGGAGTCTGAGTGCTTTACGGTGAGAGTATTTTTGTATTTGCATGGGTACAGGAGTCACCAGAACTATATTAAGGTGAATTTTATTTCTGTCTATACTTATCTGGCATGCTGTAGATACTCAATAAACCTATGGTGAATGAAGGAAAGAATCAGCCTTAATGACAAAATCATCCCTAGAATTCAATTGTTCATAAACATAATCGTCTTCCAAGTTACAAGAGAAATTTTTTGGAAGAAAAATGTTGCTATAGATAATCCTAAAACTGCTCTGGTTGATGAGAGAAGGATACATAAAATGTTTAATAGACACATAATAATTACTTTCAGCTGCTCATTTACTCCCAACGTATAAACGTTAAACTATAGCTATAATTCTCTATGAAACACATGTATAAGTAGCACTGTGTCTGGCATATAATACGTACATTACATCCAGGCGAAATTGCAGAGTGATCAAGATTATAGGATCTGGAGCCAGACTGCCTAAATTTAAATCGCACCTCCAACACTTAAAAAAAATCACATGCCTTAAGCAAGTTACCTCAGTTTTCTCATCTGTAAAACTCAGTCAACAGTACTACCTACTTAAGGGATTTGTGAAATTAATATAAGTTACTATCTATAAAATATTAAACAGTCCTTAGTCATATAATATTATTTTAAAATCATCAAATTTGATTTGAAATCAAGCACAGATAAAATTAGTCCATATAAATAACGAAGCATTGTACCTCAACACTTTGACCAAGTTACCAGACTAAAATAAAACAAGAGCACCCAATCATAGCAAGCTAGTAAATATTAACAACCAAGCCCTTTTCGCTAGGGTCAATTATTAACTGGTTTTGCTGGAAATACACAAATCCAGCAATTTTCGGAGTCATCATGTTTTAGCTTTTTAAATCCATTATCTACCATATTATCAATACTATAAAATAATGTGCTCTTTTTCTTTTACAAATTATTGTATTTCATGACAATGTACTTTTTTTTAGTAGATCTTTATTAGAGTATAATTGCTTCACAATACTGTGTTAGTTTCTGTTGCACAACAAAGTGAATCAGCCATAAGCATATATATATATATATCCCCATATCCCCTCCGTCTTGAGCCTCCCTCCCACCCTCCCTATCCCACCCTTCTAGGTCATCTCAAAGCACAGAGCTGATCGCCCTGTGCTATGTTGCTGCTTCCCGCCAGCTAACTACTTTACATTCAGTAGTGTATATATGTCGATGCTACGCTCACTTCGCCCCAGCTTCCCCCTACCCCCACTGTGTCCTCAAGTCCATTCTCTATGTCTACGTCTTTATTCCTGCCCTGCCACTAGATTCATCAGTACCATTTTTTTTGTTTAGATTCCATATATATGTGTTAGCATACGGTATTTATTTTTCTCTTTTTCACTTACTTCACTCTGTATGACAGACTGTAGGTCCATCCACCTCACTATTTTTTATTACTACGTTTCACACAGAGTCAATTCCACTTACATCTACTGCAGACAAGTCAATTGTATCCACTTCACAAAGAGTGCAGCCATTGTCTTGTGTCCATGCATTAGGTACATAGTTTCCAAAATAATTCAGGAGAATCTAGCAAAAGAAGGAAAACTGTATTAACAGAAGTAAACCTTGGACTTCCCTGGTGGTGCTGTGGTTAAGGATCCGCCCGCCAATGCAGGGGACAGGGGTTCGATCCCTGGTCTGGGAAGATCCCACATGCTGCAGAGCAACTAAGCCTGTGAGCCACAACTACTGAGCCCACGTGCCACAACTACTGAGCCTGCACACCTAGAGCCCGTGTTCCACAACCACAGCAAGAGAAGTCACCGCAATGAGAAGCCTGTGCAGCGCAACAAAGAGTAGCCCCTGCTCACCGCAACCAGAGGAAGCCTGCGTGCAGCAACGAGGACCCAACGCAGCCATTAAATAATTAATTAATTAAAAGACCCCTCTCAAAAAAAAGAAAAAAAGTAAGCCTCTCCCATCAATATACTTTCATTCTATAAACCTCTAACTTCAAAGCATGTTTTCTGCATTAGGATAACCCCTTAATAATTCCACTAATACAGTGTACAGTGAATGGGGCAGTGCCAGTGTGACCTCCTACCAGCCATCACCACACAAAACGAATATTGTATACACTTTATCACCAAAAGGCACTAAACTCTTCTGGGAAACTATGTTACCCACTATAACCCAGACTTCTGGGCAGTGATTCAAGGACACCAACGTGAAGAAAAGAAAGCCTGCAGATTAAAACAGATCTAGAACAAGTCCTAATTAGAGCCACCTCACAAATCATATCAATAATAAACTAAAGTGGGGGTAGAACAAGATAGCAGAGAAGGAAGACCCTGTGCTCACCTCCTCCCAGAGATACACCAAAATTACAACTACAGATAGAGAACCGTCTCCGAGAATGACCTGAAGACTAGAAGAAAATACTTTCCACAACTGAAGATAAAAAGAAAAACCTACAATGAGACGGGTAGGAAGGGCAGAGATGCAGTCTAATCAGAACCCATGTACCCAGTGAAGGAACCCACAAGTGGGAGGGGTATCACAGCCCCAGAGGTCTTCCCCAAGGAGCGAAGGGTCCAAGCCCCACCTTGGGCCCCCCTTCCTGAGAGACCTGCACCAGAAAGATGAGCCCCCATAACATCTCGTTTTAAAACCACTGGGGTTTATGCACAGAAGAGCAGAAGGGCCGTAGGAAACTGAGACTCTCCTCTTAAAGGGCACATGCGCAGATTCACTCT